TTTGTCTTTCCTTACCGATGAGTCTCCTGGAGATAAGCATGAGAAGTGTTTACAAAATGACAATAACCAAGATACAGCTTACAACTATTTGGGTCAATTTTACAAAAAAAATTAATTCAGGCATCAACCAAGCCTTCTAGTCAAATTTGAAACTAACTGCTTACATACTTTTCCCTCTCCAGAAAATAAGAGGGGGGGGGGTCTGCATACAAGACTAGCAAACAGTCCTCAGTCCTACAGCTTGTTGCTGCATCTTCATCAATTAATGTCTTTGTCCTTCATTTAGAGTGGGATAAACAGTTGCATAAAACACTTTAAATAAATCTCCAATATTTTCTCTTTTTTAATATTGCCTCTAGTTGTCTGGATATTAAGCCTTGAGATATTGGATGAACTGCCAAAAGCAATGGTGACTGAAATTTTATTTCTGGCCACTATTTCATAATTTAGGTCATCAAATAGAAACTTTGAAAATAGTTTAGCTTGGAGTACTCTATCACACAGCATCTGTAGCTTATCCCAGTTTCTGGAGTGTTTCTGCTCCATTGTAAAGAAGAAAACTAACATTGATCTCCTTAACTATCCATAGAATGTTTTACACTGGGACAATGTAATTCCATACCTTCATCATCTTCATCCTCTTGTTCATTACTCTCTGATCCTTCACCTTCAGCATTCTCTCTTTGAAGCAAAACAATTTAAATAGAGCTTATGATCATCATTCTTATAAGTATTATTATTACTATTATTATCATCATCAATATCATTACCATGCTTGTTGCTGTTATGATAACAACAGCTTCATCACTTGAAAAAATAACATTCACATAGAAATACACTTAATCTCCAAACTTAAAAACTAAAAAAATTTAACGATAATAAAATGACTTGATTTGATTTTTTAGGACAAATTTCTCACTTGGTAAAAACTAAAATAATTGGAATCCTCCCACCAGACTAAGAGATTTTTTAGTGTCTTGACATGATCCTTACACAATCATCTAATATGAGAGGTCAAATACAGGTTATCACAGCCCTGACAACTCACCCAATCTGTAATGACTGTATCCTTAGCCCTGAGTAATCTTTCTCTTCTGGTTCCTGAAAGTCAATCCACTCCTCCTCTTTCTGTATGAAAAATGATACTTGGAAATTATCCATCATTTATTGATAGACTTTTGTTAGCCTCCTAAGCCACCCATGATAGGATGAGATTTTGAAATCAGTTTTTCCTCAATAAGTTTGATGTAATATAAAGTAGAAAGACAAACTACAACTTTATTTCAGCATGCAAATGGGCCACAAAAGAAAAAAATCAGAGCCTTAAAACTTGTGGAGACCCCTGTTTAAAGATTTCAAACAGAGATTGCACAACAGATAACAAACTACCTCTTACCTACCCTTCTTAACTCAGTAAGCTTTAGCTAGTTACTATTGGTGAAAATAATGTGCTTAAGTAAATGATAAGCTTAAGTTTCACTACCCACTTTTGCACTTGCACTGCTATATGTAAGCTTCAACATTGCAAAAGATTTTTCATGTACAAGGTCCATATAGCAACTCTATGAGTAACTCCAGCTCTAGACCCTTGATCTTAAGAAAAATGTCACACCTAAGAACTTTGAGAGAAGTGCAAAAAAAAAAAAGGCTCCCTGGTGAGATTTTGGAATACACAAAAAAAAATTGCAGACTTGCGATTTTTCATGATAGCATCACCACCTCTTATATTATTGTTCAGGCATATAAGATATAATATCATAATTGTTCAGAAAGGAAAACCAATTGGAAAAATAACATTCATTGATGAAACAAACCAATGAGAGGTGAGAGGAGAAGTATCCAAATATATATATATATATATATATATATATATGTGTATAAACTGACAAAAACTTAGAGAACGAAAACGGTCAGCTCAGTCACTAGCATAGAAAACGGGTATTTTGATAAGGTTATTCATCAGCAATTTCCAAAAAAATCAATTTGGCTTTCCAAAAAAAAGATACACGATAATTAAGAAAAAGTTATAGACGGAAGGATTGAAGATTCCTTCAAGACCAAGGCTATATCTGCATGTTGCAGCTAGCTGTTGCCAGCTCTCTTTCTTCTTCCTCCACTGGTTTATAAAAAAGCGCACCATCACACTAAAAGAGATTAACGTCGAACTAAAAAAGACTTGGACGAGGAATATGAACGCGGGTTATTTGGCTTACTTCTAGGAAAATACAAAAAAAAGTGTAGTGTAATATAACTGTTACAAGAATGACGAATACCATTTTTAGGCCATTTTTAGGACTTAACAAGAAAAAAAAATACACGTGACTCGATCGATGAGCCGACCGAGAATGATTGGTGAACGTTTCGACGAAGTTTTAGAATGCCTTGAACGTACGTGCATTCATACCGTGTTAGAAGGCGCCGGTGTCACTCCAGAAGCCTTCTTACTTGGTTGATCTTTCGATCGACCGTCTGGTTCCTTCTGAGTGCTTCCAACTTGCTTCGTAATAGCATCACTTGTTGTAAATTTGCTCTTTCCTTTGGACTTCTTTCCCTTCTCCTTTTTCGCGAAGAAACTTTCTAACTGTTTGTCATGTTCTGACATAGCTCTCCGAACGAAAAAGGCCCAGGCAAAGCGCCGGGCAAAGGGAACAACGTCTTAAAACTTTTGTAGCTATCACTCCTTTAGTCTTTCTTCGAACTTTTATGAAGTGGCGCATGTGCTTGGAGTAGCTCGCCCTATTCCCTCACGGTTTGTTTCATCAATATGACTGCTGAATCGCCAAACCTAGGGAGTAAGAAAGATTGTGTTTTTTGTAAAATTGCAGTCAAGGAACAAGAATCTCGCATAATTTACGAAGATGAGAAGACTGTTGTTTTTCCAGACATTCGACCAGCTGCGAATCACCATTATTTAGTGATTCCCAAAGAACATTATGGAAATCCGAAGTCACTCACTGCAGTTGACCTGCAAGTTGTTGAACATTTGTTTGAGGTTGGGAAGAATGCTATTACCAACAGTGTTACTGATTCTGAGGACGTCTTGTATGGCTACCACTGGCCACCATTTAATTCTATACAGCATTTGCATCTCCATGTAATATATCCGCGTTCACAGATGGGTTTTTTCGCTCGACAAATCTACAGACCCAATTCATTCTGGTTTGTTACTCACGAGTGGCTTGTTGAACATTTGCAGAAAAATCCTGCCGGTTGATGTTGCTAAAGCTAACCTTACTCCAGATGTAAGATTTTATTAGAACAACAGCTTGGCCAGATAGCCTATGGTTGAATTCAAATTTCGATTTCTCATCCATATATGAATGACTGAAGTGCAACAATAAAATAAACGGGCTAATTCGCGAGAAATGAAAAAATGTTCATTTTTTCATTTTTTTGCAAGAGTTTTAAATTGGTGTAGGTAACCGCAAATGCAGTTTGCAAGACGAATGAATTACATGTATGTAAGAATAGTCACTATTGTTACTCAACTGCACATCTTGCAGATTTATTTCAAATTTTAAGGAAGATAAGCACCAGCCTTGATTGATCTTTTATCAGACAACCAAGCTGAGCTGATGAGTCATGTCTTTTGAAGGAATACTTTGTGGGTGAAAAACTTTTTTTTTGCATATTTAATCAACACCATTGTAAAATTAGTTAATTCATCATTGGAGAAAAAGTGGTGTTGGAAGAGAAGTTACATTGTAGAGGAAAAAGAGATCTGGAAAATTGCTCTCCAGAGATAATCAGAAAGGGCTGAAGTTTTACATTTATTTTGGATTTTTCTAAAAAGTTTTAAAACCACATTGTGGTGTATATAACAGTCTGTAATTAAACCATGTCCTTCCAGGCTGTTCTATTTTATTGATATCATGCAGCAGATATTTTTTTTGTTGAAGAGTATAATGTCTTTTGTATAACTCATAAGAATCTTTACCTCAGCCCTCAGTGTAAACATACATGGCACAATTTAGATCCTTTGAAAAGTGCTGCAGCTGCCCACTTCAAGTTTGGTTTTAATACAAACTATACTTTCTTCTAAAGCTCCTGGTGAGACAAAGGTTACCAACAAAGGACCTCTTGGCACACACATCTCAAGCTAAGTTTCTCTAAGAGACTCCAAGAATAACAAAGTCTCACTATTTAGCACATCCTCCTGATGTATGGCTTATTGTTTTCCAGGGCCAAACTAAATTTCAGATTGTCAGTCTTGTTGTAGCAGAGGAGATTTGCATAAGGTTACATTGTTAGCCCCTCAGTTAACCCTGCTAAGCCCTACCTGGTTCTCCACTGGGCTTGGGACTGAGCATGGTGGAGTTAGGTGCCGACCCAACTTACTAGATTAGGCCCATCCTTGATTTGGAAA